TTTTTTTTTTTTTCATCTAAGTGGACAAATCAAATGTCAAGTCCCTTGCCACGTATGAATGAGATGTGTCACACGAGGCGGTCCTCCAAACAGCAGCTAACGGCAATTAGCAGCAGTTAAGTTGGCTGTGAGAGTAAGGGCTAAATTGCTTCTATTGCAGAGTTCAGGGGCTTAAATGCTTCAATTAGAGTTCGAGGGCTTAATAGCGATTCTGGGTCGATTCAGGGGCTTAACTTATGGTTTTGCCTTATTATTATTTTTTATCTTGATTGCACAATAAAAACAATTATCTTTTATCCCTTATCTTACCTCAGCCGTATGCCATACAATTCAAACTTAAAATATCTTACTACTAACAAAAAAAATTATCACTAAATTATTTAAATCGTTAACATTCTATCAAGATTATTAAAATAGTGTACTAAATTATTTAAGTCGTTAACATTCTATCAAGATTATTAAAATAGTGTACTAAATTATTTAAGTCGTTAACATTCTATCAAGATTATTAAAATAGTGTAATACAATTTAATCGATAAAATAATTATTTTTTTGTACTAACCTTTCTATATCTGTTATTCACATTGAATCGATTAATTTAAAATTGAGTTAAATTGAATTTCATTTGGGAAAAACTCTTCCAACTCCTGTTTCTTTATTTACAAGTCTCGAAGTTGAAATCTTATTTAAAGATAGCTGAGTTCCTCGATCGTGTAAAATAATTATTTTTTATTAAACAAAAAGTGAAAAAAAAAAAAATCGAAAAGTGGTACGCGGGGTAATTTCTTGTAAACTCGTAATTTCAGGATAGAGACTCTGCTTTGATTGGACTTGTGTTATACTGAACAAAAATCATGAAGAAACCAATTACTATGAATTTATATCGAAATTAAGAAACTGTATAATGTAAGCTTATCTGATCAGTCTGTGGAACTGCGATTTTTTGACACCGAACACTGCGACAATGGCCTCGAGATCTCTCCTCCGGCGCTGGCCGGACATGTCGAGATTCCCACCGACGGCACCATGCAATTGTAAGTCAAGCACAATGCCACCGTATCTGGCAATTCCAATCCTGCTCCCATTGGAAACCCAGTGAAGAAATTATGCTGCAGGTAGAGCGTTTTAGTGGTGCCTTGGTACGCGCTCTTAACATACTCCTCTGGTACCAATCCACTCAGACGGTTGTTGTTCAGGAACAAGCTCTCAACTCCGGTGAGTATCGGAGATAGTTCCCCGGAGAGGAAATTGTGGCTGAGATCTACGATGGATCCGGGGTTGTAGGGCGGTGGAGGTGAGACAGGTGGGACACCGCCGGACAAATTGTTCCGTTGCAAGAACATTGATGAGAGGGTTGGGTTGAAGAGGGGAGGCGGGATGGGTCCACTAAATTGGTTCATGCTCAAGTCGAGGTACAATAAATCTGGGAGTGATTCCAGGCCGTTGAGTGGGCCCCACATCGAGTTTTCTGACATTGACAAGTAGCGGAGACTTGACGGCAGCGACTGCGGCAACGGTCCGCTAATTCTGTTTTTCCTCAGGTCCAGGTGGAGCAGCTGCGCTGACACAGTCGATGGCAATTCCCCGGACAACTGATTTGAACTCAGAATCAAGACTCGTAATGTAGGTAACTTCGAAAGACCCCGCGGGATTGACCCGGTGAGTTGGTTGGAGCTCAGATCGAGGGTATGTAGATTCGGGAGATACGAGAGGGAATGTGGGATGGGTCCGGTTAATCGGTTGTTGGTCAAGGAGATGACTTGGAGGTTACTGAGGAGACCCAGTTGGGGAGGGATAGGACCGGTGACAAGGCCAGGGAAGAGAACGAGCTGGGTCAACTGGGTGAGGTTGGACAGAGCAGGGGAGAGTGTGCCGGCAAGTCCAGGGGAGTCGGAGAAGCCAGTGCCGAGTGTGAGAAGGGTGACACGG